GCATGATGCCAGTCCTTCAAAATTGATTGACCAGGAGTTTAAACACCCAAAATCGAACTAAGAAAAAAGAATATTGAGTGGAATCAATATTAGACCTAATAAGAGGAATCCATACGACTTTACATTAGATTTAACAGAGAAAATCATCAGTGAGAGAAATGAACTAACCTTGATGGCGAAAGCATGCGGAGTATCCAGAGCCAAAGCGTGCGAGATTATGCTTGATGTGCGAAGGTAAAGAAGAGGTCGAAAGAGAGCTGTAATTGAGATAAATACTCACCAATTTTGAGAAGTTTACTGTCGATGGACTGTTTGGATCGGAGTTGAGCTCTAATTGAAACTCCAAGTAAGAAATTTGGTGTTGAAGGTCTGTGCGAGTAGGAATTGTGAGCCCTAATTTCCAAAGTGAAAAGAATACGATAGTACAGGTAGAAGAGAAAGTGTATCTGAATTTACACTAATGTCCCTAGTTTTGAGCGGGAAGTAGACTTAAGTGGTTTAATACATATATAGATGTCCGGCCGTCGCGATTTGAGGCGGTTCTCAGTAGAATTTTTTGACGAAATTCTTTGAACATATTATTCATTAAGTCTAGTTTACTCATACCGAATTTCAGCAAAACATTCCTTCGAAAAGGCATTCAAATGAAATATTGAAGATAACTGCGCAGTTAAAAGCGCAGTTATCTTCAAGAATTCATTTGAATGCCTTTCCGATTGAAGTTTTAGCTGAAATTCGATATGAGTAAACTAGACTTAATGAATAAGATGCTCACAAAAATTCATCAAAAAATTCCACCAGGAACTGCCCCAAATGGCGACGGCCGGACAGTAAGGACTTATTTGACCCCTTTTATGCAATTTTGAATATCAATCTGACTCTTACCTCCCAAAAAAAACTTTCAAAAACGTAGGTGAGTATAAAAGTGGATATAAGAGTGGGTATAAACATCATTTTTGTTAATAAAATAGAGAATTGTTTCCATTCAAATTAATTTCTATTTACATTACAGAATACAATTGAATATTCTCTCTTTATTTAAAAAATCACTACATTAGATTTATACAATATTCAAGGAGGAAATAGTAGAAGTGATGAATAGTGTAAAAAAAGTAGCAAAGAAGATGGAAAAGTAGGAAAGAGAAGATAAAATGCATAAAAAGTAAAGATAATTACGTATTTTTTAAGGAAAACTCGTCAAAAGGGGAAATTGTAGCAAGCTCTTAAATACATCTAAAAAAAATGCAACAAACTTTTAAATATGGAGGGAGTACAATCATTAAAATTGCTAATTTTTAGATTGTTCCCATAATTATTTATAATGTGGACATTATTATTTCATTCAATTAATCAAGGCATCATTATTCAAATTAACATTACAACTATAAAAAAGCTATATTCAATTAAAAATATACGAGTCACCTTTTAAAAGTAATAAAAAGGAGACTCTAAGTAATTTCTCTAAATGGGAATAAAACATTGTCTAAGTTCCACAATAGAATTTTAAGTTTATTATTCCCTAAATGGGACTAAAGATTACACTTTTACCCCTGATTAAGCTAACCCAGATGTGCGACTCATATCCTCTGCCTTCTGCAATCGATCACCGCAATTCATCTTCCTCTACCATGGCCGCAATTCATCTTCCGCGATTCTTTTTTCTACCATGGCCACACTCCGACATTGATCGTAGCCTCGCAGCGCCGTAGCTCCGCCGTCGACGACATCTGCCACAATAGCCAAGACAGGTATATGTCTTCTTCCTCTTTCTCTTCTTCTTCCTCCTAGTTCTATGTTTTTTTATCGATCAAATTTTAAATAAATTTTTGAAATTTTAAAGTTTCAAATGAAGATGTAACTGAACTTGAACTTTTTGTTATCAATTTTGATTGATTTATCAGTGCGGTTGTATGAGAAGGTTACTAAAAAAATTGATGCACAAAATTTAGATACTATGAACATAATGATGTCCTGACCTAGAGAGAGGCCAGCGCCGCGATGATCGTCATCCTTCCAAGCCGCTGCAATCGGTCTCTAAACTTTGATATTGTCTATTGAGATCGATCATTATCGAACTCACTCCTCATTATCAGATAAGTGTTCTACTTTTGTTTTGTTTCTGTTCATCCTTACTCTGAATTGGATTTCGGTTTGCGGTTCGTTTGATTACCCGTCTCTAGTCCGGCATATTTGCTGCCGAGGTTTCTACTACGTTCTTCATGAACGGTGTTGCTATGATTGTTGCTTTACTCTGTCAAAAGATTTCTTGTGATTGCTATGTTTTGGCTTCAACTATGGAGGTTGATAATATTGGACCAAATAATGGCTCTGCGGCGGTGCTACATGATCAGCACCGCCTGGAATTCTATCTGAGCTTGTGAGCAGGGTGCTTCCTTTGGAGGTGACTGGTCAAACCTCTCCTCACTTCCCGATGGTCAAGTCGGAATGCTATCTTTGGAGCTGGTGGATAAAACCTCTTCTCCCTTGCTGGTGGCTGGCGAAACCAGAAAGTTTGTTGATTATGTTCTTTTTCAGAACTTGAATGTTTATTGTTTATATTTATGTCCTAGTAGCAAGTCCGACGATGCTGATAAATTAGTCTACCATATTGTGGAGTTAGCGATCTAGCACTACCTTCAGGGGCTAGCTAGTTCTATGTCTCGCTCCAGGGATGCTCTGAGTTGTTGCTCTATTTTGTCTACTGTCACCTGTAGTATTATGAATAAATGAGTGTCTTTTTTTTTTCAAAAAAATTGATTGATTTGAATTTGAAAATGCCTTGACTAATGATTCGAGAAAATGTCACTTTTTGAATAAGAGAATGTCATAATTATTGGGTATTTTTAAAAAATGTCACTTTTCTGTCATTTCAATATTGAGAATGTCATGTTTCTATATGAAGTTGTCATTATTGTGTCATTATTGGTTATTTTAAAAAATGCCACTTTTATGTCATCACAGTATTTGGAAATGTCATGTTTCTATACGAAATTGTCATTATTGTGTCATTATGCATATTAAGTGGCATTCTCGCATATGAAGTGGCATTGTGGAGGTCTGCACTGACTCACTGGAGGACAAATCTTTGTCGGAGAATGATGGCAGCGTACTCGCTAAGGGGTGGCGGTGGCAGCAGACTTGATGGAGGGTGGTGGAGGCGTCGACTCTTGGGAGCATCGACTCTTGGAGGCTTGGAAACGCATGCGGCACACTTGCGCAGCACAAGGGAATTAATTTTCACCTGCACAACATAGACCCTGCGAACTCTTAATTTTTCATTAAGGGTATTTTTGTCAAATTAGCTCTTTTTAATCCTATTTTTGTCCACATAATTGTCCTAGTTTTACAATACTACCTTCTTTTAATTTAATCTTATTTGGGAAATTCCTTATACAAATAAAAGTAGTAATGCAAAGGCTATTAAAACGTAGATCGATTTTTATTGCATAAGGCCTTGCTTTTATATATGAGATTGGTCGACCTTGACACTACCACGGGAAGAGTAGTTGGTCTCTCTTGAATTGATGATTTTGACATGTTAAATTCAGTAATTCAGGGTCCATTTGGTAAGGGTTGTTTGAATTGTGTTGAAAAGATGTCTAGGAAAATCATAATTTATGATTTATTAATGGATATTTAATGCCCATTAATTAATAGTCACAAACTTAATTTATACGAAGTACTCTGTATTAATTATTATTGTGAGGTTTTTTCTTAATATTTAATCTTTGAATATTATGTTTTGTACCTAATTAAGTATGTGACTTAATTGTGAAATGTTACACTTTCTAATTGTCCATGATTTAATATTATTAATTTGGAACATTGATAATTAATAGTCATGGGTATAAAGATATCAAGCTAATAACATAGATACTTGTTAGTGAACAAGTTCATTGGACAAACTCAACTAACTTGAGGACACTGCTAGCCTATATGTCATCAATGTTGTCCTCAATAATGATGATGTGCTATATTCTTATACTTGAGATAATCATAGTTACTTACGTGGGAATTAATGTGTATTAACACCATTAAATGTTATCTTTAGATGGGTAATTATAAAAGTGATGATTGTACATATTCTGAACCATGTAGTGATATGTGAATTACAGAGATAGTTTTTGTCACTCTCGTATAGCGAGAGAAAGATATCTATTGGGCCTTTTGACAAGTAAGATTAATCGGCATGGTCATGCTCAAATGAAGTGTCATTTGTTCAAGATTAATCTTACTTGGTAATCAAGAAATATTAATTGAGAATAACAAGGATGGCACGACGTAATATCCTTGTCTTGATTAAAATATCGTTTGATAAAAGAGAATTATTAGCACAAATTAATCATTGAAAGCTAGATTACGTCAGATAGGAATTATCCTGTCGAAAGAAATGCATTGAGATTTATTCAACCAGATAATTTTTTTTTAAGTCCATGGATTGATAGAATTCCTTTTTTCTTGGTATTTATTCAATTCTTTGCTGCACACAAAAGAAATGCATTGAGATTTATTCAACCAGATAAATTACAACTAATACTCTTATATTCCCGATGAAGTGGTGTCTCAAACTTTAATAACACGTATTTCAAAAAAACTTTCTTTGATGTATCTCATGAATATTACTCAGCTCATAAATTACTTTTTTAATATGCAAGGTTGCATTTATAATTATGACATAACCTTAGGGGGTTAATAATAAATTTCTCTAAATAAAATTTACATATTCAGAAACTATTACATTAAAACCGCTACATAATGATATATAAAACAAAAGATTAAAAATGATTTGAGTTAATCATGTGAATAATGGACGAGAACATGAGACGGATCAACATTTTATACATGATTTTATATAATGAAAGGTTTGTCACACAAATTAATACTAGTAGCTAGTAGTCCGTAAATAGCTAGAAATAAGGCATGCATGCGTGGTATGGACAAACTGAATCCACAAATTACTAAAGGCCGGTTTGTAATTAAATTCGCGCTCATCCATTCATGTTCTTCGCTTCTTCGTGTGAATTATTCTCACCCAACTCAACTGTATAAATGAGTGGCCGGCCGGAGTATTTATAAGAATGGATCGGAGAAAGATTAAAGCTAGAAACGTTCGTACGTACACATCATATCATATGCAGGTCGATCGAATAGGTAGCTAGGCTAGGTTTCATCCATTGCATCAAAACGTACATTTATATAGCTGATCAGAATACGTACGAACGACGTAGTTAATTAAGATGGTGATGATGGGCGGGGGCGCTAGAGTGACCGTTGTTGTGGTCCTGCTACTTGTTGAGGTTATGTCGGCGGCGGCGGCGGCGAAGGCACCAGCCGCGGCGGCAGCAGCACCGGCAGCGGTAGGGGGAGGAGGAAAATTAGTCGATTCCCCACCCATCCCTTCCACCAAGGCGGACATCGAGAGCTGGTTCTCCTCCAACGTGAAACCGCTGGAGAGTCGAAAGGACAGCCTGGACCCGGCGTTGGTGGCGGCGGAGGCGGACGTGCAGCGCATTAGGGTGAGCCGGGACGGAAAGGGAGACTTCAAGACCATTTCGGACGCCATTAAGAGCATCCCGGCCAAGAACACCAAGCGTTACGTCATCTCCATAGCGGGCGGGAATTACTCGGAGAAGGTGAAGGTTGATTGGAACCAGCCTTTCGTCACCTTGTACGGAGACCCCAAGGACAGGCCCACCATCATTGCCGGTGAAACTGCTGCTAAAGTCGGCACCATCTACAGCGCCACTCTCTATGTCCTCTCCGATTACTTCACAGCCATTAACATCAACATTATGGTACGTACAATATTTATATGGTGACAACTCCAGCACCCTTCTAAAAAATAGAGTTCCGTACCTCTCATTCATTTGATTGGACCACACCGCTTTATCATTTTTAGTTTATTTTTAATTTATTTAACTGCTACATTCTCATTGGTCCATGGGGACAAAAGTATGATACCTTATGGCCTGGGTACCATAGAATCTAGAGTAAATTCCCTGTCTAGGAGTAAACAATAACAAAAGTGCAAAACTAGGACTCTAAAGTTCCGTATAATTACATAGGAGTAAAAGTACATGACTTGACATATCTACCCTTAATAAAAACCTAATTGATTTCTAAAATAAAATAAAATAATACTCTGTAATACTCCGTATAAAGGAAGTTGAACGCAACTGCCCTGCTCCTACACGCTCCTCTGCTCCCACACAACCAACGCCACAAGTAAGTCACATCGTCACCTACCACCACATTCACCGATCGCCATCGCAGCCACCAGTTCATTCCGCCACAACCGCCAGTCCATGCTTCTGCAACCACCAGTTCGTGCCGCCATAAACGCCAGACTTTGATTCCACCGTCTCCACCGCCGTCGATGCCGATGTCGCCGCTGCATGATGCCACCGCCGTCAGCCGCCGTCGATGCCGTCAGCCGCCGTCGATGCCGCCATCTCTATTATCGACGCCCCTGTTGGTGTCTTTTCCACCACCGCCACCTAGTCCAGAGTCACCCTTGACTCTTCCCGCCCCACCAGGATCTTGGCTCCTCCCCCAGATCTGAAATTTGGAATGAATGTTTTAAAATCTCATTTTAATGGCCTTTTTTTATATTAAAATAAAGGACATGACTTTTATCATTATTATCAGATGTTCATGGTATTATAAATGTTATATTTGCAGGGGAAATAATATTGTCATCATAACAAATTTATTGCCATACAAATGGCATTATGTGCGAAAATAATTTTTTGTATATGCAGAAAATGGCATTATTATCCATCTTGATGGAATTAGTGTCAATTTTTTAATATACGGAATTAGTGTCATTTAATGACTTAACTTGGCATTATTAGTCATCTTGATGGAAATAATGTCAAATAAAAATGGCATTAAGTGGCAAATAATAATTTCACTAGGAAAAACATGGTATTATTAGTAGTGTGTTTGCAAATGGGTAATATTTACATCTTAACACTATAAAATAAAATTAATTAAAAATAATATGAATTATTTCATTTTCAGATTTAAATTGGAAATCAATGCGAAAAATTACAAAAACAATGACTGAAATCAATGTAAATTTATTGTCTATATTTTAACTGATAAAAAGCCAAAAGAACAAAAGCAGAAAGAAAAGTTGAAATTAAAAAAGAGAAGAAAGGAAAAAAAAACTTCGATACAAACAGATTTGGAAAGATAAAGGAGATTTGAAGCAAAAAATTAAAATCTCGTAAATAACGTAAAAGATTTCTACAAGATTGGGAATATTAAATTGAAAGAGTAAAACAAGTAAATTAACTGGTCTTTGTTCAAATTTCAAAAAGGGGTTTAGTGCGTAATAATTAAACAGGGAAGAATAAAAAAGGGAGAAAAGGGATGGAGAAGAAGAAAGAAGAATAAGACCAAGACTTACCATATATATCGCCGCCGTCCATCGGAGGTCGCCGGAGACGAGAGAAAATCCAATCCAAAAGGTTATAAACAATCCCAGATGAAGAAATTGGGGAAGAAGCGTGTGAGAGCTGAAGTGCTAGATGAGAAAGGAGAGATGGGTCTGCAGGAATGGATTTGGGAAAGATAGGATGGAGGAGAGAGTGTGTGTGTGGATCTATTGAGATTAGAAATGACAAGTTAGAAATTAATTTATGTAATACGGAGTAGCCGTAAGGAACTAAAGTCTAAAGAAGGGTAAAAAAGGAAAAAGAAACGGACCACTCACTAATAACTCTTATTTAGGGAATAAATTAGGATGTAATCCTATTTAGGAATTTTCCTATTATTTTAGTCCTATTTAGGGTAAATACTTCTAGAATCTACCTATTCATATACTCTACTTTGAATGCATTCTATTTATTAATGTGTGAATTATTATTTTTTTGAAAAATGTTGTTGAATTCGTCTCATTACTAATTAAGTTTCATAATCTCATTTTTATTTATTTTTTACAAATACAAAATTAAATATAATGATGGTCAAAGTTGTGTGTTAGCAAACGTGAAAAATGGAATGTTGCAACTAAATGTCCCATGCATGCATGCATTCTTATCTAGATTATCGATCTTTAACAAGACTCAATTTTCTAATTAAAAATCGCTCTCTACACGTGCGTGCGTGCATACCTATGATTAATTAATAATTATTATATGCATGCATGGATGCAGAATTCAGCTCCAAGACCGGATGGGTTAAAAACCGGACAACAAGCTGTGGCCCTAACCATAACCGGCGATAAGGCGGCATTCTACAACTGCAAACTGTATGGATTTCAGGACACCCTGTGCGACCACCATAACAAGCATTTCTACAAAGACTGTTACATTGAAGGAACCGTGGATTTCATATTCGGGGATGCCAAGTCCATCTTCCTGAACTCGGAAATACACGTGATCGAGGGGAATCGGATGGCCATGATCACCGCCCACGGCCGGAAAAGTGAGAGCGAGGACACCGGGTTCTCTTTTGTGCATTGCACAGTCACCGGAACCGGGAACACGGCTGTGCTGGGCAGAGGATGGTTTGACTACTCCAAGGTCGTCTTCACCTATACCCAAGTTAGCGACGCCGTTAAGCCTGAGGGCTGGTTGGGATTGCGCAGCGATACCACCAAGGGAGGGTAAGTATATACTATCCTCCGTTCCAAATTAGATGCAACATAGCCCAATGGCACACAGATTAAGACAAAGCCATAAAGTAATTTGTTTCCTATTCTACCCTTCTGCACCCGTCCTCCCTCATCTGTTAGAAGCGTATGAGTGAATGACCGCAGGTCTGGAGTCCAAAGAAGTACCACAGCCATGATTTTTTTATCTTTTCTCTCATACACCCTTTTCTTCTTAGAAGGAATGAACCGTCAAAAACTGATGGTTACGCCTTACGTGAGCATCCATGTACCGTACTGGAGTCCAATTGTATTCAGCCTTACATGAGTTCCCCTTCCCCTGATGATTACGTCGTTCCCGACCAGTTGAGATCTTAGCCACAAGTTTCTCTCTAGTTCTGTCTCTTTGAAGAAAGGTATCTCTTTCTCAGCCGGAGGATGAGCATCCATGTCGCCTATGCTGCCCATGTCTACCTCTTTTGCTCCTGATTTGAGAAATCGCTTCAGTGTTATCAGATTGGGTCTTGACGAAAGTGGCAGAGCAAATAAATTTAATTTGTGTCGTCCTCCACATACAGGATTTTTTTGCTGTAACTTCAAACAAAATGAAAGAAATGAAAAGAAGGAAGAAATTGGAGGAAGGATGAAGAAAAAACGAAGCCAGAAGAGAACGAGATGTGCGTAACAGTAGATTAGGGAATGGGAGAGGGAAGAAATGAGAAAGATGAAGGAGTGAGCAGATGGGTGAAAAGATCGGATGGCAGGAATTTGTGGTGCAGATGGGTTTAGTACTTTAGTATGAAGCATTACTTTATTGGATTTAAGGGTAATATAGTCATTGTGGTTATTTCTTATTACTAAAAAAGGTAATGTTGCAATTAAATTGAAACTACCCAAAAAGGAAAGTGTTGCAACTAAAAAAGAACGGAGGGAGTACTACGTATATTCATACATACTTCAATTCCTATATATATTCCCTCATGAATAATATCACTAAATATATATGGAATAGATTAAAAAAGCACTTATTATCACATTTTGACTTAAAAAAACACTTATTTTATTAAACAATACCAACTTTTATTTTTATCGGCTTTCGTGTCAAAAGTGCTTTTACTTTTTCTATTACACAAAAAAACACTTATTTTACCAAACACCACCAACTTTTACTTTTCAAAATCACTTTTCTCTCAAACACTATCAACTTTTATTTAATCACTTCTACCCATTTCATTAGAAAAAGCATTTTTTTAAAGTAGAAGCTGTTGCAAACAGACCCTAAATAAAAGTAAAATTGCATAACTTAATAATGTATCAAATAAATTTCCAAAATAACAATATCTTTCCAATTATCGTTGCTTTTTCTTAATACAAATCACATTTCATCAATAAATAAAATAAAAAGTAATGCGTAGTATCATAACTTTATTTATAATATATATATATATATATGTGTGTGTGTGTGTACAAAAATAAAAAAAATAAAAACACGAAAATATATACACAATATTAAATTAAATTAACAAACACCAAAATTAAAATAAACAAAAATTTAAACAACCTCTCAGCACCACCACCTCAGACCAACGTAATGGGAAAAAATCTCAACATGTGTTCCACAACACATGTCATGTTTTAGAAAGATATACTTCATATAGAGTATACTTTAGTCATGTTTTAGCCTTATCGACACATTTTTTCATTTCAAATATGTAACTTTCGGCTTCACACGCTCAATTGTGTAATAATCAAAATCAGTAAACTTGAAGTTACTTTTCTTACAACATTGACTGAAGTTATTGTAGATGACCATTTTAGCTATCTTTTCATATATGTCTTTTTTACTCTATTAATAAAATATATTTTTTCATAAACAATCATCATAATCAGCCAATCCAGACATTTGGATCATCTAGAACTTCATAAATTTCAGCTGTCTTAGCCAATTTAACGGATACCAAATGGGATCTATCTAAAACTTCCTCCTCAAATATAATACTAGTAATTGCCATTATTTACTTCCTAAAATACTACATAACATAATACTGATTCATATTTGTTATAAGAACCGGAGCGGACTAGGCAAGTTGAACAAGAACTTGGTGACCCGAAGCTGAAACCACTCAAGTAGAGAGTATTGAAACACAATTATAGTTATGAGTATGATTATAATTATAATTATGTCATAATAATTATAAACATGTTATAACATTATACTACGCATATAAATATGTCATAATTGTAATTGTAATAATACGAATAATCAACACTCAATTAGATGAGAAGTATTTAAATAGATAAAAAAGATTAGAACACATTAGCTTAGAAAGATTCAGATCATATCACACCAAATAAAAAAAATTCGGATCACATTAGACCAGATCTGATCTAAAAAAAATAGATGAGAAACATAGAGATCATATGTATTTTATGGAAAAATTCCTAGCTTCATATACTAGCTCATGACTCACGTATGTGTGGATGCAGGACAATCTTCTTCGGAGAACACCAGAATACGGGGGCAGGCGCAACAAAGACAGCTCGTCCTTCCTACGTTAAGATGCTCACTGAGACAGAGGTGAAGCCTTTCTTGAGCCTCAACTACATTGAAGGTTCCAAGTGGTTGCTTCCCCCCATCAAACTTTAATTAAAGCTAAGCTTCACTCCATCGCCAGCCCACTGCACGCCGTCGGTCGTACTAGCTGGCTATATTTAATTAATTAGTTGAATCTTCTTCATTTTCCCGATTAATAAAAACTTTAATCAAACTTCATTCGCCATTACTCAACCGGTTGTATTAATTAGTGATTTTCCAAAAACTAGTAAAGTTAGTTGTTTCGATTGACTGAGATAATAATGGTCAATGGTGTTGGGAATAACAGGATCTATTACTTTCAAGAATAGAAAGAAGAGACATACAAGTTCTAACTAAAAACTCTCAAAAACAACACCTCACATATCTCTCAAGGATATTCACAACACTCTTGGTTGTGCTATGATGATCTATTCTAATTTTCTTGATGATAGAAAGACTCTCCAAGCTCTCTGATCTATTTATAGTACCAAAACAAGGTAGTATGAAGGTGAGAGTAAGGTGTGATTAAACATGAGGAAACTTCAATGGTGGTTGAGGAAGCTCCCTTTGTCATTCTTGCACATGGAGGAAGCTTCATGGTTGTTGCTTGCACATATAGGAAGCTTTATGGTTGTTGCAATTGGATTCTTCAATTTGTTGTGCTCGGATATGTCCTGGAAATTGAATTCTTCAATTCTCCCCTTCCAGGCATATTCAAAACAAGCATCCCGACAATGTCTCTGCACAGCTCCAGCTTATCTCGTGTCACCACCTTTGTCAGCATGTCTGATGGATTCTCCTTTGTATTGATCTTCACTAGTCTCAACAGTTGTTGATCAATCGTCTCCCGTATCCAATGATACCGAACATCAATATGCTTTGTACGAGAATGGTACATGGAGTTCTTGCTCAAGTCTAGAGCACTCTGACTGTCACAATGTACCTTGTACTCTTTCTGCTGGATCCCAAGTTCTTGGAGAAAGCGCTTTAGCCACAACATTTCCTTACCAGCTTCAGCGGCAGCAATGTATTCTGCTTCCGTGGTAGATAAAGCGACACACTTCTGCAATCTTGATTGCCAAGAAACAGCTCCCCCCGCAAAAGTGTAGATATATCCAGAAGTAGATTTTCTACTATCAATATCTCCGGCCATATCAGCATCTGTGTAGCCTTCCAGGACTGGATCATCTCCTCCGTAGCAAAGACATAACTTTGTGGTACCTTTCAAGTACCTGAGAATCCATTTGACTGCCTCCCAATGCTCTTTCCCGGGGTTAGAGAGAAAATGACTCACTGTACCCACTGCCTGTGCGATGTCTGGCCTTGTGCATACCATGGCGTACATCAAACTCCCAACTGCTGAAGAATATGGAACTGCTAACATCTCCCCGATCTCTTCCTTGGATGTAGGGCATGTTCTTTTGCTCAACTTGAAGTGATTCGCAAGTGGAACACTTACTGGTTTGGCATCATTCATGTTGAATCTCTCAAGTATTCTTTCAATGTACTTCTCCGGAGATTGCCATAACTTGCGATTCTTCCTGTCTCGAGTAATCTGCGTCCCAAGAAGCTATTGAGTCAGTCCTAAGTCTTTCATATCAAAAGACATAGAGAGTTCTTTCTTCAGATGGTTTATCTTCGCTGCATCTTTTCCAACGATCAACATGTCGTCTACATATAGTAGAAGAGCAATAAAAGTACAGTCTGGAAGTTTCTTGATGTATACACACTCATCTGCAGTAGTCTTCTTGTAGCCTTGACTCTTCATGCACGAGTCAAACTTCTTATTCCACTGCCTTGGTGCTTGCTTCAAGCCATACAAACTTTTGGATAACTTACACACAAAGTTATCATTTGAGTTCTCAAAACCTTCCGGCTGATGCATATAGATTTCTTCTTTCAAATCTCCGTGAAGAAATGTTGTCTTCACATCCATCTGTTCAAGCTCCAAGTTCATACTTGCTGCCAAGCCAAGTATAACTCGGATTGAGGTCATCTTGGCAACTGGTGCAAAGATCTCATCAAAGTCAATTCCCTTCTTCTGCTGGAATCTTTTGACAACCAACCGAGCTTTGTGTTTCACCACTTGTTTGTTTGCATCCTTTTTCAGCTTGAACACCCATTTGTTCCTCAGTGCCTTCTTCCCTTTAGGAAGTTCTACGATCTCATAAGTTTGATTTTTCTGCAGAGATTATAACTCATCATGCATTGCTATTAGCCATTTTTCTTTATCCTTATGAGATACAGCTTCTTGAAAACTCTCTGGTTCTCCATCTTCAGTTAACAAAAGATATTCAGATGATGTGTACCTTGTCGATGGTATATGCCCTCGTTCAGATCTACGAACAGTATGAACCATCAGAGAAGAGCGACCATCATCTGTGTCTGATGAGGTGGGTTGTGTCTCCCTTTGCTCTGCACTCTCTTCTGTCTCCTCGTCTTCTTCTGCTTCTGAGTTATCTTCATGCACTTTGTCCTCTTCTGGTGCTTCATTTAAAACTCTAGCACCCTCATTTGGCTTCCGAGACATTGTGGGTTTTCCAATGTCTTCTATTGTCAAATCTTCTTGGAACACAACGTCCCTACTTCTGAAAACCTTTTTCTCCTTAAGATCCCATAACCTGTATCCGAACTCTTCATTTCCATAGCCAACGAAAATGCATGGGATTGTTCTTGCATCGAGCTTCTGGCTGAGCTCATTGGAGACATGTGCATATGATGAACAACCAAATACTCTAAGACACTACGCCAAAACTGCTCGTTTTCGACACTTCCACTTTTTCAAATTTGACTAGTAAAACCATCAATTCTTTTTTGACTAAGTAAATGCGTCAAAATGGTCGTATTGCAATTTTAGGCGCATGAGTAAAAAAAACGTCTCTCTTTTTTTACGGATAGATTAGGTCAAATTTTAACTTTTCAAGAGCCGCTCCCTTATCAATAAAAATTCTGCCCAAACGTCCAATTCCTAAGACTGAAATTTAGAATGAAAATTGAAGTTTCACTCCAAACTTCATGTGCGCACCAAATGAAAAGCAAAGTCCCTCTTGTCTCAAAAAGTCACTCCAAAATTGAAGTTTCACTCCTAAAATTGCGAGCTGCTTTATAGTTCAGCGTCATCTAAAAAGATTCAAGTGAGAAAGGAGGGAAAGGAGAACGAAGACTGATATCACAACTAGGTACTACGATAGCTAAAAAATATGATCTTTTTGCTTGTTTTTGTTGTTCGTGTTCAATTTATTCAGATAATGTTTAATTTATGGCACGCCTTTTCAAATCTGAACTATTTGTCTAGAACCAGGTTTGCTATTAGATGTTCGTAATCTGTAAATCGATACAGTATAGTTGTCTTTACACAACATCATATATGATTTTATTGTGCACATTAATTGTTTGATAAAAGAACTAATAGAGTAGTGAAGATGAATAACTCTAGATTTGTGGTTTCTTAACATGAAATTATGTTCTATTATTGTTGCGGGACTAAAATATTAAGAGGATTTCTAAACAGACATTGACCTATACATTTGTAACATATTAGAATTTGTATACCTAAAACACTAATATTACCATTTGACTATTAAAAACATGAAATGGTCACATTAAAGTATTAAATCAGTCTCCATTTAAATTCCAGACTTCATTATAACTCAGGTTATTAAATCAAGAATTTTAGTTTTATTAAAATTGTAACTAGTTAATAGTTATGTTGACTATATTTATTAAATCAATAACATGTTTCATTCCAACCCAAATCAGTGTACCTTGTGTAGTTTAAATATGTTAGATGATGAAAATTTGTCCATGGAATGATATAAACACATCCGAGGAGTCAGGTAATCCATTTATTCACACAATGTCCTTGTTTTATAGTTTTTATAGATTATATATGTTCTATTTTGGATTCTTTTGTTAGGTCTAAAAAAGGAAGTGATGTTCAATGAATATGGGCAGCCAGTAGGTCTAGGATCAAAAAAGTTTTCAACTGCAGTTGGAAAAATTGCAAAGGCACATTGTCCACCCGCAATCAAATCTTGGAAGGATGTCAATTCTACTATCAAGAATATCATATGGAACAATGTTACTGTAAGTAAATTGGTTGAAGTATTTTCCTTATTTAAAAAGGTCTTTGATATATGATGTCTCGTTCTTATTGCAGTATGAGTATTTTGTGCCTGAAATATATTGTAACACCGTCCCCAAATGTATTTACTTTTACGTAAATGATGTAATAAACCTTATGGGATGATTTATGAATTTACGAAGTTGTAAATTTTTATATTTCTTTCGCGTGAATAGTAAATTGCACGTGGGACCCACATCGGGAGCGGGGACCACCCAACATTCCCGAGACCACATATTTTATTCATCTTGGTCAAGATAATATTTATATAGTGGTGGATATTTCATTTGGGCTATGGAAAGGCCCAGAGTTGACCGATTGGTCAAGAGAAGCCCAAATTACCGGTACTGGTAATTTAACAGATAGCAGCCCGAACTGAATTTCGGAGGCTTATAAATTAAAGTTGGGGAATGTACATTCATTATAAGGGTCATAATGATTAAGAACACATAATATATTTTATTTGACGCGATAAAATAAAATATATTTAAAACAGTCCGAAAAATACAACTTTCGGGGCCGATTGTACACTTCGGGACTTAAAGGGATGACCTCCCACATGTGTGGGGGCCAACCCACGAAATTATGCACTCAAGACCCTGTCTTGGACGGCTGAAATGAAAGAGGGGAATGGGGGGTTGTATGGGTTTGAGTTGAGAAGCATCTAAGGACAAAGGTGGGCTCCCATCCCACACTTATTTGTCATTTGAGACAAAAGTGTGTACCCTCCCTCATCCCTATCATCAAGCTCGACCAAGACCTCAAGAAAGGAAGAGGAAAAGCTCTCAAAACCACCTCCATTGTTGCAGCACGAACTCAATAAAGATTGGTCCAAAAAGGAAGATTAAAGAGAGAAAAAGTTGGGAAAAGTGTGAATAATTAAGGTAATGACCTTATTATAACTTTCCCTCTATTTTTCCTTGACAATATAGGATATATATCACATGAAGGACACTTAGTATGGTTCCACATGTTATAAGTATGGATTTATGGGTTGGAAGATGGTTCTATGTCCAAAAACGGACTTAGAAGCCAAAACGACCGGTTCACCGGAAAATAACCTTTTAGAGGTTATTGGTATTAATATGAGTTTTATGATTATAAAACCTTGTTAGACACTTGTAAAGGGTATTTCAAGTGATTTCACAAAGTTGGAAAAGTCGCCGGAGTTGTCGCCGGAATTGACCAAAAGTCGCCGGAGTTTCACCGGAGTTCAACCAAGAAGGGTAGAACTTCATAACGCTAGTTCAAGGTGAGTGGACGGCTTAATATCTTATAACTTTTGGGTTAATTATGAGATTACCTAAATAAATGTTATATGAGTTCATAATGATGTTTAAAAGATATTTAAACATGTGATTAGCCAATAGGGTTAAGTTTGTATGAAAGAAATTAATTGTTGATGCATGGGATATGATATGAAGAATTATATGAAATGCATATTTGTTTGAAGTGTATTACAAGCACAAATGAATATTATTAACTTAATTATATGATGATTAAGTTGATACACACAAGGCATAAAATGGCGGTCAACGAAAACGTTGACCGATGGACAAAGGATTTAATTAATACCGGTTGGTATTAATTAATTATAAATCTATATAAATGCATGGTTTTGCATGGATTGTGATACATAAACTTTATGTGTTGAATTAGTTATGAGTAACTAAGTATGATATAGACTCTATCTAGGTTGATAGAAGGTTGATCATAGGAGAATATTTTGGTGGAGGACCCTAGTACTTAAAAGTACTTAACACTCAAAATTTGGTGGAGGACCCTAGGACTTAAAAGTCCTTAACACTCGGATTATAAATTGGTGGAGGACCCTAGGACTTAAAGTCCTTAACACTCGGATTATAAATTGGTGGAGGACCCTAGTACTTAAAAGTACTTAACACTCAAAACTTGGTGGAGGACCCTAGTACTTAAAAGTACTTAACACTCAAAACTTGGTGGAGGACCCTAGGACTTATGAGTCCTTAACACTCACAAACCGGAGGAGTACCCAAGGATTATGATCCTCAAAACTCATAGATTATGATATTGAAATAGGGATAAGGAGGAGTCATATACACTCATAGGTATATGGGTGGGTTGGGGTTTTTAGTCAAGAATATTGACTATTACTATTTTTCCCAAATAAAACGGTGATCTACGGATCAGATATTTTCCAAGTATATATATACTAATAAGTATTTCATAACTTGGGGGAAAGACTATTTATTTAAGTATCACCCTATGTTTGGGTCTTATACTTGAAACGCTAGTTATTCTATATTTAGCCTGCTACTCGCTCGGTACTTGTACTGACCCCTTCGGGGGGGCCCACCATTTTCAGGTTGAAGCTAGGGCTTGCTACTTGCACCTCCTCACGGGTGATATCATATCGGGAAGACGTGGTTCGTGCTTTCCTTATTTTCTTTCAAACTACCGAACACTTGCTCATGGATATTTGTTTTACTATAAACTATTTTTGGGGCTTGCATGCCCATGTTGTTGGCCGGTTGTGGCTCATGACTTACCGTTGAATATTTCCGCTATTCATTGGTTTAAATGTGATGTTGTTATGTATGTTTACTACTGAGTATGGATGGATTGTTTTCTAGAACGCCTTGTGTAATTAAGTGAGGTTGACTCGTGGGTGACGTCACTTGATTAAACGGCGGTTGTACACGCGCTTGGATTGCGGTCTGGGGCGTGACAATTAAGTGGTATCAGAGCCATCTCAGTTCTAAACTATATAATCAACCTCTCACAAAAGATTTTACAAAAGAGTTTTACCGAAAACCATGAGCATTGTATTTTGACGTTTATAGGACTATTGGTGCTTGAGTTGCAAGGCCTCTAACTGTTAAGACGGTACCCTTAACAATTGGTATGGTGGTGACTTGGGCCAATACGTGTCTATAACGTTCTTCCGTCAATTGACATTTATAGGAGTCTAATGACTCATCCATATTTCTTTCAGAAATGGAGGGCAGGCGAATGGCAACCAGGAACAATCCGAGGGGGCAGGCGCCGGTAGCATCCCAAAGGGGAAGTCGGGCTGCATCTCGGGGTTCAAGAGGAGGCCGTGGAGGCCGTGGAGGTCATAGGGCTCAGACTGTGAGCGACGGCCATGTTAGTTCAGTGTATGAAACCAACACCGAAGACTACGACTCTACATATGTTCCGGAAACGGAGCATGAGGAGACCCCATATGATGGGGGTGACACGTACACTGACGATGATGATGAAGAGAGTGATGCCAAGTTCGCCCAAATGGGCGAATTACTCGAGTGGTATCAAAAAGAGAAACTGAGGAGAGACCTTAGGCGCCAAGCAAGGCGTGGCTCTCGTGGTGGTTCGGGTCAAGGAAGCCGGGGGAGCTTCAAGGGCCACTCCCGTGGCGTCACATGACGGGCGTGAAGGAGGTTTTTGTGTGAGAATCTCCAAGTACCTCAAGGAGGCTAGGGCCTTGGGGTGTAAGTCCTTTGACGGCTGATATTCGTGTAATTTCTGATTGTATGTTTGTATTTTTAACTAGTTTTTATTAGTTCTAGTTGTGGAAATTACACACTTTTGGTGTAATATTTTATTTTCATTTTTATTTGTAATTTGTTTAGATTAGGATTATTTTGAGCTAAACAGGTCAAAGATCATCCAAGGGATCAAGATTGGACCTTAAAAGATCAAGGAAAGTGCAAGGAGACAAGAGAGATTTCGATTTGGAAAAAGTACTCATGTACCCGATCGGGTATTGCCTATACCCGATCGGGTATTCGCTTGATTCGATTGTCCAAATCAAATCCGGGAACAAATAATCGTGGGAGCAAATTTTCGTGAAGATTTGTCACATACCCGATCGGGTATGCCGACATACCCGATCGGGTATGCCCAGAAAAGTGACTTTCTGGGCAATTTCCTAAGATACCCGATCGGGTATCCTATATACCCGATCGGGTATCAGACCCTGTAGCTCCCAAAAGCCTATAAATACACCCCTTTCCTTCACAATAAAAACACCAATTCACATATACTCTTTAGCTCAGTTTAGATTAGTGTTTTCTTTATATTTTCTATCATGTTTAGTCTCCAAATGAGGAGCTAAACTCTTCCATCTTGGTTTTGCTACTTTGAAGCTTAATGAATTTGTAAGTTGTGAGTTATTCTCTTTAATCTTCTTCCTTGAATATTAATTCTTCCTTTAAATACTATTTCTATATCAATGTTGGGGAGTGTTACTAAGATGACAATTAGTTAACATCTTGACATTAGTTATAGTAATAGCTATTTCTTCCTCTATGTTAATATTGGGGAGTGTTACTAAGATGACAATTAGTTAACATCTTGATATTAACTATAGTGGGATTCATCTTCTTTAATATTCTTCCTTGAGTATTAATTAATTCCTATTCATATTTCATATTAATATTTTGAACATTACTTAAAGGATCAACTAGTTTTGTTTCATATATTAATTAATACTAGAATCGGTCGATTAATACGCTTGTTATTAATTCGGTCCTTTCACGGTAGTAAACTTGGATTATTAATGCATGCATCTCATGGTCAATAATCTAAGGGGAATTAATTACATTGATTAACCAACAAACCGCTTGTGTTGAGGTTATCAATCTCAATCGTTTTCATCTTAAGTTTATTGCTACTATCAAGTTAATATACGGCGCTTGTTCTATATTGACTCGATAGTAAGTTTTATTAATGAACGCATCTCGTTATTAATAACTACCCTCGATGAACTGGATATACTCCTCGATTGAGTATTCGAGAGGAAGATAGTTAAAGATATAACCGGGATCGACAAACATTTCATTAAGTGGATAAAAGCAAAACCAAGTCTTCTTCTTATTTATTAAACCACATAACTCGTTCATCTTCGTGTTCAATTTTAATTAAATCATTCAATCAAAACCCCCCTTTATTTATTAGTTACATAAAAAGAGAATTATTCCTTTCCCTGTGGATACGAACCTTACTTCGCTATACTACGTATTAGTGTCGTATTGTATTATTATTTTGAGTGCACCTCACGACAAGTGCACGTCAAATTTGGCGCCGTTGCCGGGGAAAGGCAATTATTTTTCTTTTTATTTTATCTCATAAAAAAAAAAAAAAAAAATCTTAGTTTTCTATTTTCTGAGCTTTCATGAGTATATGGATACCAACACATCATCCTTAGAGAGTCAAATTTCCGACTTGACTTCTCTAATAAAGGAATTTATTTCATGTTCAAAATCTCAAGATGTCCATACATGCAACATTTGCATGTCACACAGGCATCTTACGGATTTTTGCCCAGAGCTTCAAAAAGAATACTTTGAACAAAGGAATGATGTTGGTTTCCAAGAGAGGTATGATTCATTCTCCAACACATATAACCCATACTCAAGTTCTTATTCCAGCATGTCCACTGAAGACATGATCCGAGCTCTCACTATCAATGTGACGAATATGCAACAAAATATGTCACAATGCCCGCAAGAAACAGTGTCCAACGAACAGAACTTGGACAATCAGTTGAAACAAATGCCAAGCATTGTGAACCACATGGGCGAGGAGGAAGAAGAGGAGCTTACGGAGAAAGCTCAACCGGAGGAGGAACCTCAAAACTCAACTCCACCACCGGCCATTCCTGAAATCATGCCACCATTTCCTGAGACTCTAAGGGAAACACAAAGGGTGGAGAACGACAAAGACATCTACGAAATCTTCAGCAATTGTGAGTATCATTTAGATTTCTCTTCGTTCACAAATATGCAGGGAATAACGGTGGAGTTACGCAAACATTTCATACTCCCTCTTATACCACCCAGATCAAAACCCCTTCGATTGACCATGCTAAGTGAAAATCATGGACCCTCACTCTTACAATATGAAGTGATAGAAATCCGGATATTTGATCCTGGAAAGATTGTCAAAATAAAGGGTCGACAAATTGAGCCTTTCTATAAGAGTCACTCGGGTGAAAATGTGAAGAAGAGGGATCATCACGATCCAAGCCTAAACGACTGAAATTAAAAAAGATGGTGTCGTGCCACGACGTTAAATAAGGCGCTTTTTGGGAGGCAACCCAAGTGAGGTACATCATTGTGTGTTTATTTTATTTTTTTATTTTTCTTTCCCCTACACAACCTCCTTTTCACCTCTTTTCATCTTTAATCTTTCAAACCACCATCCAATTCCACCCCAATCACCCCAGCCATCATAACCATATCCTTCTTTTTTTAAAATCTATCCAAATCCTCCACCAAACCCCACACACAAAACAATCATAATCTTGTTCTCATCACTTTCCTCTTACTCCACATACCCTCTAATCCATAAACTCTTACACTCATCCCTCTCCCAAACCACAATTTTATATCTTCAAAAAAAAACCAAAAAAAAAAGTGATGGCGATAACGAGCACTAGAGACAGTGCTCCAAGCTAAGTGAGGGGGAGTCACTCATTGATACGCAATTCATTTTTCTACCTTGTAACTTGCATTATTTTCTTCACAAAAAAAAAAAAAAGAAGAGAAATGCTAGTTAGGTTGAAAACCCAAAAATGGGCAATCTAAGCAAAAAGGGCTTATAAAAAAAATGAGTGAGTTGGAAAGGATGGAAAAACAAAAAGAGATGCTAGGATGAAAACCTGAAAAGGCTCCTAGGCAAAATGAGAGATATGAGAGATATATTTGTTTTTGCAGAACATCATTTAATCTCTTGACGGAAAATAAGAATAAAAGAGGTGAAGAAAAAAATGAGCATAGAAGGCCATGAAACCCAAGAAGATGTTTTTTTTATTGAGCTAAAAACTCAATGTAAAAAAAACATGTTTTATCCTTGGTGGTCTTTTGCTTTTTCTTGTTGATTGTTGAACTTTTGAGGATTTGGAAGTGTTAAACATTTGACTTTACTCGAGGACGAGTAAAGAAGCTAAGTGTGGGGGAGTTGATATTCGTGTAATTTCTGATTGTATGTTTGTATTTTTAACTAGTTTTTATTAGTTCTAGTTGTGGAAATTACACACTTTTGGTGTAATATTTTATTTTCATTTTTATTTGTAATTTGTTTAGATTAGGATTATTTTGAGCTAAACAGGTCAAAGATCATCCAAGGGATCAAGATTGGACCTTAAAAGATCAAGGAAAGTGCAAGGAGACAAGAAAGATTTCGATTTGGAAAAAGTACTCATGTACCCGATCGGGTATTGCCTATACCCGATCGGGTATTCGCTTGATTCGATTGTCCAAATCAAATCCGGGAACAAATAATCGTGGGAGCAAATTTTCGTGAAGATTTGTCACATACCCGATCGGGTATGCCGACATACCCGATCGGGTATGCCCAGAAAAGTGACTTTCTGGGCAATTTCCTAAGATACCCGATCGGGTATCCTATATACCCGATCGGGTATCAGACCCTGTAGCTCCCAAAAGCCTATAAATACACCCCTTTCCTTCACAATAAAAACACCAATTCACATATACTCTTTAGCTCAGTTTAGATTAGTGTTTTCTTTATATTTTCTATCATGTTTAGTCTCCAAATGAGGAGCTAAACTCTTCCATCTTGGTTTTGCTACTTTGAAGCTTAATGAATTTGTAAGTTGTGAGTTATTCTCTTTAATCTTCTTCCTTGAATATTAATTCTTCCTTTAAATACTATTTCTATATCAATGTTGGGGAGTGTTACTAAGATGACAATTAGTTAACATCTTGACATTAGTTATAGTAATAGCTATTTCTTCCTCTATGTTAATATTGGGGAGTGTTACTAAGATGACAATTAGTTAACATCTTGATATTAACTATAGTGGGATTCATCTTCTTTAATATTCTTCCTTGAGTATTAATTAATTCCTATTCATATTTCATATTAATATTTTGAACATTACTTAAAGGATCAACTAGTTTTGTTTCATATATTAATTAATACTAGAATCGGTCGATTAATACGCTTGTTATTAATTCGGTCCTTTCACGGTAGTAAACTTGGATTATTAATGCATGCATCTCATGGTCAATAATCTAAGGGGAATTAATTACATTGATTAACCAACAAACCGCTTGTGTTGAGGTTATCAATCTCAATCGTTTTCATCTTAAGTTTATTGCTACTATCAAGTTAATATACGGCGCTTGTTCTATATTGACTCGATAGTAAGTTTTATTAATGAACGCATCTCGTTATTAATAACTACCCTCGATGAACTGGATATACTCCTCGATTGAGTATTCGAGAGGAAGATAGTTAAAGATATAACCGGGATCGACAAACATTTCATTAAGTGGATAAAAGCAAAGCCAAGTCTTCTTCTTATTTATTAAACCACATAACTCGTTCATCTTCGTGTTCAATTTTAATTAAATCATTCAATCAAAACCCCCCTTTATTTATTAGTTACATAAAAAGAGAATTATTCCTTTCCCTGTGGATACGAACCTTACTTCGCTATACTACGTATTAGTGTCGTATTGTATTATTATTTTGAGTGCACCTCACGACAAGTGCACGTCAACGGCACCGGTGACATTACCGTTGTCGCCGATTGGATAAAGAAGGTGAAGGATGCGGCAAAGGACATGCAAATTTCACCCGACGTGAAGTTGACTGTTGCTTCACGGCTGCTTGAGGGGATAGCT